CCCCAAAACCCCAAAACCCCAAAACCCCTGAATACGAGATATATACTGAAGGAAGAATTTAAATTATATTAAATAGCGTAAGTAAAATGGATACGACGTTGGACCAAAGCCATGAAACCGATATTACGCAGGATATAGAAGACCAGACCCCTGAAGCTTTAACTAGAGAGGAACTAGAGGTCTTCACCGATTATATGACATCAGTCAGTTCGGCTCTACTTGACGTAGAGTCGCAAGATTACTTTCACAAATCTATTCATACTGAGGAGAACTTGAACACGATTAGAGCTTTCATTACAGACGCACAGAATAGATCTCTGATTGTTTCCAAGGTAGAAGAGTCCTCAGCAACTATGAATGAACAAGAAGCAGAAGGCAAAGAGGAACTCAAAGATACAGCCCAGGATACAATTGACACCTCTGAGTCTCATAAGAATTGAATGATCAGTATTGCTGTTGATCTCAAAGTTCAGTACAGAGGAGCTGACTCCCAATCCATTGCTTTCATCAAGAGACATCATGGGGGCAATATTGAACTGAAGACTACAGGAGGCAAGATTGGAAAACAACTCCAAGTGATCAATCTTGGATATCCTGGAGAGGAAATTGACATCTTCAGACTCGCTAATATTTATGTTGACAATGGTCTCATCCCCCTCTTTGCTTCTTACAGGTCAAAGAAGTCATCTGATAGCGGAAACATAGACCATCTAGATGAGATCGAGCAGCTGCTCGCTAAGCTCAGACTTGAGTTCACCCATTGCACTCAAGATCAGATTTCTTACGATGTTAAACTAACTCTGCCGAAGAGAGTCTTGCAGAAGAAGCTTGAAGTTGAGGCCGAAGGAAGGACCATAAGTATCGATGATTTTGAGGCTGAGTCTTCTGACCAAACTTTCGTTGATTCTCTGATAAAGTCTCTCAATTATTGGCTCAAAGACATATCGAAAGTTACATATATGGACGCTAATTTCTGAATTGATTCAGTTCTGACGGAAATCACTTTCTGGAAGAATAGAGAGACTGCTCTTAGAAATATAGAACAACAACTTGAAACCCCAGAAATCCAGACAGTCTTAGGCCTCTTGAACAAGGAGTCTTCGACTGGAAGGCATGTCCTCTCTTTCAACCAGGACATCAATGTTATGAATGAACTCAAGAAAGCTCAAGACTTCAATATGATGTTGAAGGACTGCCCAATCAATGACTTGATCTCTGCCAAGGACCTCCCAAGCACACAGAAGGCAATCAATGATATCTTCGAGTACCTCAAGGTGTTCAAGAAGGGGACTTCCTACCCGATCGGCAGAATCATGGAGATGCTGGAGGCTCTCAGTAAAGACTGCTCCAAGAGAATTCTTAAGATTCTTGAAGACTACGACTTAATGACCATCGAAAATAAGAAGTTCATGATCATCAAAGAAGAGTGACTTAAGATCTTCTCAGACATCGACAAGTGCTTGAAGCAATTCATTGAATCGGCAAAGAACAAAAATCCCAAGAGAAACGAGAGGAAGACTATTGCCAAGAAGCTCGACCTCGAGCATAGTAACATCCAGGGAAGACTCAACGAAATCTCAGAGCACAGGAAAGAGAATGTAAAGTTACTTGAGATTGTGTCAAGCATCTTCTCAAAGCAAAGTGACTCCAGTTCTAAAGAAGCTGTCAGAGACATCCAAAATGCGTACACAATCTTCCTGTCAATCAATGTGCTCGACATGACTGCTGAAGGAGAGAACAGATGGCAAAAGGCAAACAAAGAGTACAACTTAAAGATTGACAGAATTGAACAAGAGATTACTACTCAGATCAGAGATAGACTAGCATCTGCAAAGAGTACTAATGAGGTGTTCAGAACTTTCTCGAAGGTCAACGCCTTGTTCTCAAGACCAAGGATTAGAGGTGCAATCCAAGAGTACCAGAACCAGATCTTGTCCAGTATCAAGAAAGACATCACCAGCTTCAGAGATAGATTCTTGGTTAAATACGGCTCTTCAGAAGTCTGCAAGATGTACAAATTCAGGAATTTCCCAAGTGTTTCAGGTCTGCTCACTTGGTACAATACTCTCGAGAGAAAATTAGATACTTACTCCCAAAGGGTCAAAGATGTGCTGGGTGCTGAGTGGGAGAAACATTCATCAGGAAAGCAACTCAAGCAACAACTTGACCCGATTGCGAAGCATTTGGCTGACTATAAGACGACTCACTACAACGCATGGATTGAAGAGATGAACAAAATCAAGCCATTTGACAAACAGAAACTCCATATTTACAAAATCTCCAAGAAGAGTGATGGCTCGCTCAAGCTTGAAGTTAATTTCAATAAGAAGGCTCGCTGGCTATACCATGAAAAGAATACTCTGAAATCACTCGGAAAGAGGCTTCCACATACAATCCTGATGAAGGCTTCCGAAGTGGAGATGTGATTCCCATCCTACATCTCATTAGTTGATAGTTTGGCTACTATCCAACAAGTCAACAGCATAACCACTCCTGAGATTGAGATGTCTCTTGCTTCGAAGAGGAAGAGAGTCCACCAGCAGTTCAAGGCTGGAACAAAGATTTCCTGGAAGGATGAAAGAGGACTCCCTGGATATGCCAACCAGATCGCAGCTCAAGTTCAAGAACTGGAAGATTCCACCCATATTGCCTTACAGAAGAACGACAGAAAGAACCAAATCATGAAGGGTCTTGACGACTGCATGTACAAGAGCGAAGAGTTTAAACACAGGCTCGACGAACTCCAGAGAATTGCAGACGACTTTGTCTTCTCCGACTTCTCAAACATTTTCAAGTGGGTTGATATTGTGAACCAACACGTCGAGAGCATCTTGGTCAAGAGGGCCGAGGAAGCTATTCAACAGTGGATTGATGAGTTCAATAACTATGGAGACTGCACCCCAAGATTTATCAAATTGGCTCCAATCCATGAGATCAAAATTAGAGACAGACAGCTGGTGATGGATCCAAGCGTGCAAGAAATGAGGTCCTTCTGGTACAAGCAGCTCAACCGTGTCGTATCTGTAATTGGCAGACAGAAAAATATTGAGAGCACAAAGTATGACAACCGAAGCAGAGCTAGCACCTCTTTACTGGCTGGAGATGTCGAGGAAGAACCAGACTTCAGATTCGCTCTGAAGAAGATCAGAAAAGATATTATGCGGAAAGCTAACCAGACCATTGAATCCGCTATTCGAGATGCTCAATCATATGTGTCAATCTCAGGTTGCCAGGCTCTCTGGAATGTAGACTTCTCTAAGCTCTACGACAAACTGGGAGGAAATGTAGCAAAATGGCACTTCTGCCTCGGAGGCCTTCAAGACCTAATCATGAGAAACTTTGATAGAGCCGAAACGATCAAACACTTCGGAGCTGTTGTGATTGACTACCAGAAGGCTCAAGACCAAGTCAACAACAGATTCAACTCTCTGAGAGACCAAATTGTGAAGAGGCTATATGAAGATGTTTCTGGAAACATGAACCAATTCTACAAGACTCTTACTACTGCCAAGAATGAGCTCGAACTTCTCTCTCTGGACAACCCAAATATCGACGTCACCATTTTCATCACTGAAATCCAGGAGAAGAAGCGTCTGTCTGGCAAATGGGAGAAAGAGCTGGAGGATGTTTATGAGCAAGGATTCGGCATTCTCAAGAAGAAGTATTATATCCAAACTCCTCATAAGCTCAATATTGACAATGTCAGAGGCGCCTGGAGCAACTTCAAGCAAATTCTTTCCAAGAAGGTCAAGCTCATGGAGGGAGAAATGGACAGACTCAGATCAAAGGTCATCTCTGAACAGAAGGTGGTCGCCAAGAAGATCGAAGAAGCCAAGAAGGAATGGGTCACCATGAAAGACCAAGGATTCATCCAAGTCGAAGAAGGCCAAGAAGGCGACCAAGCACTTCCTGACGTTCGAGGAATTCTCAACTTCCTCAGTGTGGTTGAAGCTAAAGCAGGCAAGCTCAAGGATGACTGGAAGAGAGTCTGCAAAGCTAAAGAACTTCTCGACATGGATCTCTCAGACCCAGAGGCTTTAGACTGATTTGAGGCCACCATCAGAGACTATAAGGGCGTTTGGGGAGCCCTCAGCAAGATCTGGGATCAAGTCTTAGAAATTGGAGAGACCCTCTTCACTGCTTTAAATCCCAATAAAATTAAGGAAAGCTTGCGAAACACTTTAGAAGAATTCATTGAAATGCCAACAAAGTTCAAGCAATATGATGCCTACGAAGACATGAAGTCTCGAGTCAGCAAATTCCAGAGCATGCAAAACACAGTCATTGACTTAAAGGGAGAAGCAATCCAGCAAAGACATTGGACCAAACTCCTCAGAGTCTTGAGAATCAAGATCCCATTCAATGAACTCACCGTCCTGGACCTCTGGAAGGCTGACCTCATCGCCAATAAAGTTGCAGTTGGAGACATCATGGCCCAAGCCATTGGTGAGAGTGCCATCGAGAGGTTCCTTACTGACATGAAGGATCACTGGGCCGCTCATGAGCTCGATTTAGTGAAATTTGTAAGTTAGAAAGCTAACATAGCAGCAAGCCAAGTGCAGGTTGATCAGAGGGTGGGATGACTTATTTACAATGATTGACGAAGACATCAGTAAGCTTCAAATAACATTCAGGCAACCTTGCTTCCACCAGAATGTCCCCGTTCGTTAAGAACTTTGAAGAGGCAATCCCTAAATGGGACTGGAAGCTAGAGCAAATGAGAACCATCTTTGATATCTGGATTGATGTCCAGAGGAGATGGGTCTATCTTGAAGGAATTTTCTTTGGTGCTGCAGATATCAAGACCCAGCTGCCACAAGAGTTCACAAGGTTCAAGAGCATTGACTCAGAATTTGTTCAGCTGATGAGAAAAGTGTCAGCTAAGCCACTCACCCAAGAAGTCTGTGCCATTGCAAACTTAGAGCAAACATTACAGAGACTGAGTGATATGCTCAACAAGATTCAGAAAGCCCTAGGAGATTACCTCGAGACCCAGAGATCTAACTTCGCAAGGTTCTACTTTGTTGGAGATGAAGACCTGCTTGAAATCATTGGTAACTCAAAGGATATTAGCAACATTCAGAGACATTTCGCTAAAATGTTTGCAGGAATTGCAAGCCTGAAGTCCCCGGATGGCAATGAACTCCAAGGAATGTTCTCAAGAGAAGGAGAGTATGTCCACTTCAAGCAGAATCTCCAATTGTCTGACGACCCAACCATCTACCGCAGACTTGCGAGGGTTGAAGGAATGATGCAATCTTGTCTTGCCCACGAACTCCAGAAGGCAGTTGAGAGCATCAAGATGATTGTCAGCTCAAACCGAGAAGTGTTCCTGGAGTGGATTGATAAGTACCCAGCTCAGATAGTGCTCACTGCCATGCAGATCTCCTGGGCTCAGAGAATTGAGGATGGACTCAGAAAGACCACCAAGCATCTTGAAGCTACTGAGGAAAATATCGGAAACTTCTTGGTTATTCTAGCTGAGGGAGTTCTTGGCGAGCTTCCAAATGACATCAGACGAAAATACGAACAACTCATTACTGACTTAGTGCACCAGAGAGACACTTCGAGACAGCTCGCAGAGGCTGGAACCTCAAGTGTTGAGGACTTCGACTGGCTCTACCACATGAGATACTACTGGAATGCTAATCAGGAGGACCCCCTGAAGAAGGTAGAGATCCTCATGGCTAATGCAGTATTCAACTATGGATTCGAATATCTTGGAGTCGGGGAGAAGCTAGTCCAGACTCCATTAACAGATAGATGCTATCTTACTCTCACCCAAGCTCTCAACTTCAGACTTGGAGGAAACCCATTTGGACCAGCAGGAACTGGTAAAACAGAATCAGTCAAGGCACTCGGAGCCCAACTTGGAAGATTCGTGCTTGTGTTCAACTGTGATGAAGCCTTCGATGGAAATGCTATGGGAAGGATCTTCGTTGGTCTATGCCAAGTAGGAGCATGGGGATGCTTCGATGAGTTCAACAGACTTGAAGAGACAATGCTCTCTGCTGTTTCACAACAAATCTTGACCATTCAAACTGGGCTGCGAGAGCATTCAGGTAAAATCGAACTTCACGGGTCATCTATTAAGCTGAACCCAGCTATGGGAATCTTCGTCACAATGAATCCAGGATATGCTGGAAGATCCAACTTGCCAGACAACCTGAAGCAATTATTCAGACAGGTCGCTATGATTAAGCCAAACAGGGAAATGATTGCCAGAGTCATGCTTTACTCCCAAGGTTTCAAGACTGCTGAGGAGCTTTCGGGGAAGATCGTTAGTCTGTTTGAACTTTGTGGAGACCAGCTATCAAATCAGCCCCACTACGACTTCGGTTTGAGAGCTCTGAAGAGTGTTCTTGTCAGTGCCGGTAACCTCAAGAGAACGGAAGAAAATAAACACTTAGATGCTGAGCGAGCCATTCTGATCAGATCAGTGTGTAACACTGTTGTTCCAAAACTGATCACTGAAGATATTCCTTTGCTCTCGAAGCTTCTCTCAGGAGTGTTCCCAGGATCAGACATTATCAAGGTCGAGCAGGAAGGACTAATCGACTGTATTCACGACCTCCTCAAGACAAGGTACAACCTCGTCTACGACGAAAGCTTCATCTCAAAAGTGCTGCAGCTGATGCTCATTCAAACAATATCCCACGGAGTCATGATGGTTGGACCTACTGGAAGCGGTAAAACTGCAGCATACAAGCTTCTCAGGGATTGCCTTCAAATAGTAGAACACACGAAGTATGAAGTCTACGTTATCGAGCCAAAGGCAATTCACAAAGATGATCTCTACGGAAGGCTTGACCCAACGACTGGAGAGTGGACTGATGGTGTGTTCACAGGAATCCTCAGAAGAATTCTTGACAACGTCAGAGGAGAAGCTCAGAGAAACCACTGGATTATCTTCGATGGTGATGTTGATCCAGAATGGGCAGAGAATCTGAACTCAGTTCTTGATGACAACAAACTCCTCACCCTTCCAAGCGGAGAAAGACTCAGTATCCCTCCGAATGTGAGGATTATGTTCGAAGTAGAAAGCTTAAAGTATGCTACACTCGCCACAGTCTCGAGATGTGGAATGGTCTGGTTCAGCGAAGAAATCATCAAACTCGACATGATGTACTTCCACTACCTCGAAAGACTCAAGCAAGAGGACTATGACTCCTTGACCAGAGAAGGCTCTACCGAAGAAGGCAACGAACAGAACAAAGATGCTCCAGGAGCACAGGTCCAAGACGAGGCTGCTAAGCTGGCCAAGAGGACTCGAGAAGTCTGTGTTGAATCTATTCAAAAACTCTTCATCGAAGATGGATTTATTTCGCAGTGCCTCGAATATTCAAAGGGGCAAGACCATGTCATGGAGTTCACAGACATCAGAGCTTTGGGGGCGATGTTCGCTCTTATCAGAAAAGGAGTTTCCACTGTGGTAGAATTCAACGAAGAAAGATCCGAGTTCCCACTCTCTGACGACCAGATAGACTCCTTCATGTGCAAGTTCGTAATCTACTCGGCCATTTGGGGAATTGGAGGATCACTAAACCTTGCTGCAAGAATTGAATTCTGCGATAAGATCCATGAGATTTGAAGTATTGACCTCCCAGACCCTTCAGGCCCTCCAATTATCGACTACGAAGTCAGGATTGATGACCAAGAATGGCACCTCTGGAGGGAAAGAGTTCCGACCATTGATATTGAGGCTAGCGAAGTCACCTCTGCCGATAAGGTTATTCAAACCGTAGACACCGTCAGACATAGAGAAACGTTGTGCTCCTGGCTTGGCCAAAGAGTGCCATTTATTCTCTGCGGTCCTCCAGGATCAGGTAAAACAATGACACTGATTTCCACATTGAATGCATTGACTGATTCCCAAATGATTTTCGTCAACTTCTCCAGTTCAACCAGTCCAGAGTTGATCCTGAGATCATTCGACCAATACTGTGAGTACAAGAAAGCAACAAAAGCCGAGGGAATGATTTTGAGGCCGAAGAATAATAAATGGCTGATTGTGTTCTGTGACGAGATCAATCTTCCAGAGCCTGACCAGTATGGAACCCAACGAGTTATATCATTTTTGAGACAATTGACTGAGCAGAATGGATTCTACAGACCATCCGACAAAGCCTGGGTTTCCTTAGAAATGATTCAATTTGTAGGAGCTTGTAACCCTCCAACCGACCAAGGGAGATCCCCGATGACTGACAGGTTCATGAGGCATTACCCTCTGATTTTGGTTGACTTCCCTGGAGAGGAATCTCTCAAGCAGATCTATTCTACCTTCAACAGAGCCATGCTCAAGAGAATCCCTGACTTGTCTGGGTATGCTCAGCCTTTGACAGAAGCCATGGTCGAATTCTACCAGGAGGCCCAGAAGAGGTTCACTGCCGACATCCAGCCTCACTACGTATACTCTCCGAGAGAGCTGACCAGGTGGAAGCTCGCCATCTATGGAGCCTTGGAAGGCCTCGAAACCTTAGGAGACTTAGTGAGACTCTATGTCCACGAAGCCTTGAGATTATTCGAAGACAGATGTGTTGAGCAGCAAGAAAAGGACTGGTGCAATGAGAATGTATACATTATCGCTCAAAAGTGGTTCCCTCAGTGTGACCTTGACAAGAGTCTGAGCAGGCCAGTGCTGTTCTCACAATATTTGAACAAGATGTACGTTTCAGTGCAGCAAGAAGAGCTGAGAAAGTTCATTCAAGGCAAACTTCAGACTTTCAATGAAGAAGAACTTGATGTTTCCCTGGTTGTATTCGATTCAGTCGTTGACCACGTCCTCAGAATTGACAGAGTCCTGAAGCAACCAGTCGGTCACCTTCTGTTGATTGGAGCTTCTGGTGTTGGTAAAACAACTCTTGCCAGATTCGTCGCCTGGATCAACAACCAGACTGTCTTCCAGATCAAGGCATGAAAGAACTACTCCCTCGACAACTTCGATGAAGATATTAGAAGCGTAATGAGGAGATCAGGAGTGAAGGGAGAAAAGATCTGCTTCATCTTCGACGAAAGTAATGTTCTCTCCTCTGCCTTTTTGGAAAGGATGAATGCCCTCCTCGCTAGTGGAGAAGTGCCAGGTCTTTTCGATGGAGACGATTACACTCATCTTATCAACCAGTGCAAGGAAGCCAACCCACAGATGGTTGATTCTGAAGAAGAACTATACAACAACTTTGTGAAGAACACACAGAGAAACCTCCACGTTGTGTTTACGATGAACCCATCAAACCCAGACTTCAACAACAGAACAGCCAGTTCTCCAGCCCTGTTCAACAGGTGTGTGATTGACTGGTTCGGAGAGTGGGCCGACGAGAGTTTGTGGCAAGTCGCCAAGGAATACACCAAATATGTGGAGCTCTCGGATGAGTATTTCGAGAATTATCAGCAATGAGAAGTAATTGGAGAGCAAGACACTGATCCAAAGCATGAGTCGCTTATCAGTGTAATTGTCCACATTCACCAGTCAGCAAAGCAAGCTAATGCAAAGCTCCAGAAGAATGCCAAGAAGTACAACTTCATCACTCCAAGAGACTATCTGGACTTCATCAAGCACTTCACCGAAGTGTTGAGCGCCAAAAAGGAGGAGCTGCAGGAGCAAGAATTGCATCTCAACACAGGTCTTGACAAGCTGAAAGAAACCGAGGCTGAAGTCATCGACCTCCAGCAGAACGTGCTGGTCAGCATCCAGGCTGACCTCGAAAAGAAGGACAAGGAGGCCAACCAGAAACTAGCCTTGATGCTGGAAGAGCAGAAGGATGCTGAGAAATCCAAGGAAATTTCCATTAGAACTAGTCAAGAAGTCAGCATAAAGCAGGAAGAGATTGCTAAGAGAACTGAAGATATCAATTCTGACCTCAGCAGAGCAGAGCCAGCTCTCATAGAAGCGCAAGAAAGTGTGAACTCCATCAACAAGTCCCATCTGAACGAAATCAAAGCCATGGGTAAACCTCCGAACAAAGTAAGATACGCAGTGGAAGCTGTATGCGTTCTTATTTATGGACTCAACAAAAAGCCAGACTGGGCAAAGTGCAAAGGGTACATTACAGGAACAGACTTCATCCCTAAGATCCTGAGTTACGACAAAGACCAAGTTACCGCAAAAATCAAGAAGCTGATTAGCAAAGAGTACCTTGAAACTGATGACTGGAACCTTGATGCCATCAACAGAGCTTCCAGGGCTGCAGGGCCTCTGGCAAAGTGGGTGCAGTCCCTCATTGACTACGCTGACATCTACCTCATGATCGAGCCACTGAGAGACGAGCTGAAAGGGCTCACAGACGAAGAGAAGGAACTCGTTGTGAAGAGTGAAGAGCTCACAGCCAAGATCGCTAAGTTGGAGCAGAACATTGAGCAATACAAGAAGGACTACGCTCTCTTGATTGCTGAGGTACAAAGGATCAAGTCAGAAATGCTGAAGGTTACCGACAAGGTGGACAGATCCAAGAAATTGATTGAGAACTTAAGCTCAGAAAGGACTAGGTGGGAAGCCTCATGCCAGAATATTATGAGCTTGATGGCAACACTCGTTGGTGACTGCGTGCTTTCGGGTGCTTTCCTGACCTATCTCGGATTCTTTGACCATTCTTACAGGAAACTGCTGAATGCCGAATGGAGGGACATTCTCGGAGCTGCAGGAATCAAATACAGAGATGACATTTCATATCTTGAGTTCTTGAGCAAACCCTCTGAAAGACTCCAATGGCAAGGCGAAGGTCTCCCAAATGATGACATTTGTCTCGAGAATGCAACCATTTTGAAGTATTACAACAGATACCCACTTATCATTGACCCAAGTGAGCAAGCCCATTCCTTCGTCATGAAGCACTATGAAGGTAGCAAAATCCAAAAGACTAGTTTCGTTGATGATGCGTTCATGAAGCAGCTAGAGAGCTCTATCAGATTTGGATATCCTCTTTTAGTCCAAGATGTTGAAAAATATGATCCAATCCTGAACTCAATCCTGAACAAAGAAATCCACAAGACAAACGGCAGAGTTCTGATTAGAGTCGGAGACCAAGAAATTGATTTCTCTCCATCGTTTAAAATGTTCATGATCACCAGAGATTCGCAAGCTCAGTTCACTCCGGATCTCTGCTCAAGAGTGACTTTCTGTAACTTCACAGTGACTCCAAGTTCTCTGCAGAACCAGTGCTTGAACATCTATTTGAAGAATGAGAGGCCAGAGACCGAGCAGAAGAGACAAGACTTGCTCAAACTTCAGGGCGAGTGCAGAGTCCTTCTTAGAGAACTCGAGGACAAACTCCTGAACACACTGTCGACCTTCGAAGGAAGCATCCTCGAAAACGACCAACTTATTGGAACTCTGGAAACAATCAAGAAGGAAGCAACGGAGATCCAGTTAAAGGTAGATGCTACTGACGAGACTATGGACGAGATTGAGCTTGTGTCTGAGGCCTATCAGCCACTCTCTGTGGTCACCTCAAGAATCTATTTCACTCTTGAGAGTCTCCCCTCGATCCACTACCTCTACCAGTTCTCACTCTGACACTTCATGGACGTGATCTTCGGATTGATCAAAGAAAATCCTGAGCTGAACGCAATTCCGATGAAAGAGCCAGACCAGAGACTCCACAAGATGTTCGAGTTGATATTCAAAGTGATCTACCAGCAATTCTCTCCGTCAATGCTGAACCAAGACAAACTCCTCTTCGCCCTCAGACTTGCCCAGATCAGCATGCAGGGCAGAGGAAGTGAAGAGTTTGAATGCTTGATGAGAACTCCGACGGTCATGGAGTTGAGCATCTCGCCCAGCCTGCTTGGAGGAGCCCTTTCAGAGAGCCAGCTTGCTGCTCTCCAGTATCTGGACACTCAGAGGGAATTCGGATGCCTGGTCGATCACATGAGTGAACCAAGCAATCAAGAATTATGGATGGAGTTCCTCAAGGATAGCAAGGCTGAAGAGAATGTCCCAGAACTCCCTGGTGACGCAGAGCTTGCTCAAGAAGACGAAGCTGTTTTGAAAATAAGGCAGCTTTCTATCATAAAGACACTCAGACCGGACAGGTTAAGTGCCGCTGCCAAGGCCTTTATCCACAGCGCCCTGAAGAACCAGATGCTTGATGAAGATGAGATGTCATTTCTGACAATTGTGGAAGAGAAGAGCAACTCCAAGTCCCCGCTCCTGCTGGTCTCAGCTCCAGGTTACGACGCCAGTGCTAAAGTAGAAGAAATTTGAAAGACGAATAATAAGAAACTATTCTCAATTGCTATTGGTGCAGCCGAGTGCTACGGCATTGCTGAGAAAAGCATCGCCTCGGCTTCAAAGATCGGAGGGTGGGTCCTCCTCAAGAATGTGCATCTTGCTCCAGGATGGCTGGTTGATGTTGAGAAGAAGCTCCACAGGCTTAATCACCACAAAGGATTCAGAATGTTCATGACAATGGAGTTCAATCCAAAGATCCCAACAACACTGCTGAGGATGTCGATGACTCAGGTGTTCGAGCCTCCAAGCGGAATAAAGGCCTCTCTCCTCAGGACTTATGGAGGCGTCGTCAACGCTCAAAGATCAGAGAAATCACCAATCGAAAGATGCAGAATGCATTTCCTGCTCAGTTGGTTCCATGCAGTCATTCAGGAAAGACTCAGATACACTCCGATTGGGTGGTCAAAGAAGTACGAATTCAACGAGAGTGACCAGAGAGGATCTCTTGATGCTGTTGATGAGTGGATCACCAAGGCCACCAAAGAAATGTCTGACAATATTGACCCTCAAGAAATTCCATTGGTCGCTATTCGAGCTCTGCTTAGCGAAACAATTTATGGAGGAAAAGTAGATAACGAATACGATTCTCAGATTTTGCACTCTCTCACAGGACAGTTCTTCACTCCCGAGAGCTTCGACAGCGGGTTCCCACTGATGAAAGTCCCAGAAACGTCAGATGTTGAGCCTTTGATTGCTCCAGAAGGAAGAAAAGTGGCAGACTACAGAAAGTGGATTGAAGAGCTTCCCAACGTTGAAAGCCCTCTCTGGTGCGGACTCCCAGCCAATGTTGACAACATCCTCAAGAAACGCCAAGCCGCACAGTTGATTGAGAGCTTTAAGCAGATCCAGGGAGCTGAAGACGAAGAAGCCGAACCATCAGTCGACGCTGAGGAGGGTGGAAAAGGAGCTTTATGGCTCCGGAGACTGAATGAGACTGTTACTTCTCTGCTGGAATTCTTGCCTCAAGAAGCGCCACCTCTCAAGAGAGAACAGAATTCTTTGACAGACCCACTGTTCAGATTCTTAGAAAGAGAAGTCACGCTTGGTGCTAAGCTGCTCAAGGTGTTGAAGCAAGACCTCGAAGACCTCAAGCTCCTCGGAACTGGTGACCTTAAAGCCACTAACGAACTCAGGGAAATCGCCCATGAACTTAGTACTGACACAATTCCAAAGAAATGGAAGTGGTTCAAAGTTGCAAACTCCACCGCCACTGAGTGGGTGATTGACTTTGTGAAGAGACTTGCCCAGCTTGAAGAGCTTGCTTCAGAGCCAAGCTACAGGCACAAGAAATTATGGCTTGGAGGATTCTTCTTCCCAGAAGCCTTGATCACTGCCACCAGACAGTCAGTGGCCGAGAGCCATCAGTGGTCGTTAGAAGAGTTAGATCTGATCATTGAGGTTTGAAAGGATGAAATCGATGGAGACCAAAGCTTCATGATCGAAAATCTCACTTTGGAAGGATACGAATGGTCTGCAGAAAACAATGATGTTGTCGCCTCAGACGTGTTATCAGCCAAGCTCCCTGTATCCTCCATCAAGTGGGTCCACAAGGACCAAAGCACCAAAGAAGAACTACTTCAGAGATTACCCATTCCGGTCTACCTGAACAGTGAGAGACTGGACCTGTTATTCTCAGTCAAAATTGCGAGCAACCAGCCTAGAGCGGATCTTTACCAGAGGGGAATCGCACTGACAGCCTGGTCTATATCCTAATCATTCAACTTACTCTCCCCACAAATATACTCATTCTCAATTTGGCTCACATACATAAAACCAAGAATTACTTTTATAGCCACCATCGTCCTAAAATTTAGTGATTTATTCTTCCCAATAACTCTTGAAACACTCGGGGTTTTGGGGTTTTGGGGTTTTGGGGTTTTGGGG